CAAATGTACTAGTACTTTGCAGGCGAATCGTTGGTAAACAATGGGGCCTTAACCCAAAATCCACTCTATGGATTTATACTGTCATAGTCCGGCCAATGCTTTCTTACGGATGCGTGGTCTGGATCAATGTAATTAACAAAAGCACATTACATTACATTAAACATTTTACAAAAGGTGCAAAGACTTGCTTGCCTATGCATTAGTGGGGCTTTAAACAGTACCCCTACCGCTGTGTTAGAATTTTCATTGCAAATTCCACCCTTGAAATTATTCTTGAGTAGAGAAGCAATTAAAGCCATGTATAGGTTGAATAAAAATAGCACATGGTGCCAAAGGACCGGTTTTGGTCCTAAAAGCCACCTGAAAAGCCACATTGACATATACCTGGACTTGGCATATATATCTATATTACTAAAACAATAGTTCCAGATAAACTATTCTCAACTTGTATACCAAAAAGGAATGAGATAGAATCTCTAATTGACCTAATTCCAGCAGGATCAATTGAATGTTACACAGATGGATCAAAATCCAACTTTACCGGAGCTGGAGCTATTATAAGAACCAAGGGATCTGCAGAAGATTTCATTAGATTTCATCCATACCTTGGTAAACTAACAACTGTTTTCCAAGCCGAGGTTCTGGCGATCAGTATGGTCACTAGGGAGCTCTTAGCTAAAAATACAGTTGATAAGAATATATATATTCTCTCCGACAGCCAATCAGCCATTCTTGCCCTGGCTAATCGTGTCAAGTTACAAAACTGTGTTTTGAACTGTACTCAAGATCTCAATTCTCTGGCTCAAACCCATAATACCATCAGTTTAGTCTGGGTCCCAGGTCATTGTGATTTTGCTGGAAATGAAGTAGCTGATAAAGTAGCTAAAGATGCCTCGCAACTACCCATGTCTGGCCCAGAACCATTTTACACAGTTTCATATCAAACTGTTAAAAAAGAAGTAAGAAGCTGGATAAAGAACAAACATGATGATATATGGTGTAAACTACCAGACTGTGCTCATTCTAAATTGGTGCTCAATACACTTAACTTATCAGGTAAACTCATACACCTCAGTAGAACTAACTTACACCAGGTAATTCAAATTATTACTAGACATGCTTATCTGGCCACGAATCTCCACAAATGTGGTCTTGTCGAATCTCCTCTATGCCCAGCTTGTCGAGAAGAAGAGGAAAAACCTTTTCACTTCCTGGGACGAAGTCCGGTGTTTTCTGTCCCTAGAAACAAATTCCTTGGGTTTTCCTATATTAGCTTTGATCAAGCCCTTCTATACAAAGGGCTCTCTGGCATAATAGGGTTTCTGATGTAAACTAAACATCTACAGGTAAGGTGAATTTGAAACCACAAGAAACAAGCATTAAGACTTCCCCGGAGTTCTTTTTTTTTTTTTGTTGTGTGTGTGTGTGTGTAAAAAAACTATGCAGGGATTTCCCTCTCATAGCTGTGTTTTGGAATATAATTTTGAAATAGATACCAAATCTTTATATACCACCTTGCCATTTGGCTTGACAAAGTACCTCTTGCCCTATTATTTAATTAATTAATTAATTTAATTAATTTTTACTTATTTTTTTTGTTTTATTTTAGACTCACCATCGCACCCTTGTTTGGTCAAGAGTTTGCATTTGGTGGTTTGGGAGGGATTGAATTGGCTCTTCATCCAATTGGGAAGTTTTAATGATTTAACTGACACTCTGAATTTACAGACGGGATATTTGGCTGATCTTTAGAATATGGTAACTGGTAGTTTGGCGACATTTTGGAGGCGATAAAGGTTACTACCTGGGACTTTGGTAATAATGTCAGCAGTACTCAGTTCCGATTACGCATTATTTTGTGTGAGGGAAATGAAAGATCATGGGATATGTCATGTGATATTAATGGACGAATTACGGTTCTTTAATCGGAAAAGGGGGGGAAATCGGGAAAAAATCTGGAAATTTTGTATTTGGCTTTATTCTGTGTTGTGTGAAACAGTGTTCGTTAATTTTTGGATCCCATGGCCCTAACTAAAGTGAATTCGAAATGGGTATTTAGTGGGATTGAAAGGGGTAGTAATAAGTGTTTCTTTAAGGTTGTGCGAGATAGAAGTAAAGATGTTTTATTAAGTTATTTATTTTACCTGGTACCTTGACATGAACTATAAGTATGATTTTAAAGATCCTGAAACAGAAATAAGAAAAGTTTATCGGACACGTAATCAAGATTCTGAAGAAGAATAGGTAAGTTAGTATTTTTTAATTATTTGAGGATATTATTTTTATGCATTGTTCTAAATGTAAGGTTGGAAGTAAGTAATTTCGTAAACGTGCATGGAAATAATTTAAATATTTGACACTAAATATTTTGTAACCATTTGTAATGTTTGCGGTATGAATTAGTTAGTGACGTTTGTAATATAATAGATAATGTAGAGGTAAAAGTTTTTGGATATTTTATTTATTTTATATGGGGAAATGTTCATATTTGGAAAGGGTATATACTTTTTCGCGATCAGGTAATTCCACATATGTTCTTTTTACCGGGTTTAAAGATTCAGAAAATTGTTATGCATTTTCGTGAAATTTTTCTAATTTATGAGAAAAAAGCAGTGTACCTGGATATAGTGAAGAGTGTGCACAATGCCATTTTTGTGCAATTCTGGGATTTTTTTTAAGTAAAAATAAATCGACGTGTACATGGTTTAGTGATATTTTAATTAAATGATAGTTATTTTGTGAATTTTATGTTTGTAGGAATATTGGTATACGTTTAAGTTGAAGTAAACGTGCATGGAAATAATTTAAATATTTGATACTAAGTATTTGTAATGCTTGCGGTATGAATTCGTTGGTGACGTGTATAATGTAATAGATGATTTAGAGGTAAAAGTTTTTGGATATTTTATTTATTTTATATGTGGAAATGTTCATATTTGGAAAGGGTATAAACTTTTTCGCGATCAGGTAATTTCATATGTTCTTTTTACCGGGTTTAAAGATTGAGAAAATTGTCATGTATTTTCGTGAAATTTTTCTAATTTATGAGAAAAAAGCAGTGTACATGGATATAGTGAAGAGTGTGCGCAATGCCATTTTTGTGCAATTCTGGGATGTTTTTTTAAGTAAAAATAAGTCGGCGTGTACATGGTTTATGTGTATGTGTTATTTTGAAAAAACGCGTAAGGAGTATGGTATTGTGCACTTTTTCCCAATTTTGCAGTGAATATTTGTCATGATTAAGCAGTTTTGTTAGATAAAATTTCTAGCATAAGTGTAATTCGGCTAGTAGATTGTTGGAAGAAGTGTTCAGTAGATAAAAAGAAAAGAAACATGTCTTTACTTCGTGAAGACAAAATGGCGGCAGAAAAAAAAAAATAGAGGGTTGCTGTAGGAGAGTTGGTCGCCAAATTTTCGCCAAAAAAATGCCAAGTTACCATAATGTAAAGATCAACCGGATATTTTGCTGATATGGTTTGGTGATATGATATGATTTGGTGTCAGTTTGGGATCTTATCTATTTATTTATTGTTTACCTTTCACAGGAGTTACCATTTAAAACCTTTGATTTAAATGATCAAATGGCGGAAGAGCAATGGGCAACATTGCCTAAGTTCTTTTCCTTCTTTTCATAAGAAGGAAGCACCACTAATGTTATGTTAGGAAGAAGCCCATCTTCCTCCAGAGGAAACCAGAACTTTCTGCTCAGGAAAGTGACGCAACCTTTGTAATATGTTCGATTTGTTGAAGACGAGAAACCGCGCGTTTAACTTCGGTGTGAGTGTATTGTCTGTTATACAGGTATCATTAGTGCTACCTAAAGAAAGTAATACAGTGAGAATACACCGACGACAAAGTTACCAGTAAAAAGTTATACTTGTTTTGAGTAAGTACTAGTTATGTATATATTCTTAAAAGTACGTAGAACAAAATGCCATTAGTAATAAGAGGTATTTGTGGCATATATTAAGGCAAATAATGATTAAACCACATAAATCCAGCCACATTGTCCAGCCTATTGTGTAATATAAGTTGCTGCGTAATTTATTTTACGTTTTTCTGCTTTGAGTTGATCATTTTGAGTTGATCATTGTTCATTTCAAAACACGCATGACACGAACCAACGAGCAATGAAATCACTCCAGCAAGAGTTTTCAATTGCCATACAACACACAATCGCACCAAAAACCAGTGCAGGACACATATCGCCACATTTGGTGATCTTAGGGCGCATATAAGAGTAGAGCCATACATGCAAATCTAGCTTAGTAAGTAAGTTGCTCTCCGGTTTAGTTTGTTACATCTTTGTGCCTTACATTTTTGCACTAGTATTGGCAAGGCCCTTAAAACAAAGCAGGTAGACTAGGAGCCCAGGCCTTGCTACTACATATGACTTCAACTACGACTTATTGTGCATGCTTAAAGATAATTCCGACTACTATTTCAGGAATGAGAAGGACTGATCCAGTTAATGGGATCAGCTGAGATAATACCACCGCGAGTTTCCCATTGACTGTAACCAGAGACACTCACACATTACATATTTGACTTATATTGTAGTATCATTGTACATGTCAACAATTACAAGGAATATACGGCTCATAGATCTAGTCTGGCACGAAAGTAATGCTACCTTCCAGATCATTGTTCTTTTCTTAACTCAATCTACTATTTAGTTTCAGACATTCTTTTCACAGTCTAAATTAACTTTTCACACTACCAATTAATTTATGATTAAGTATATTTATAGTAAAGGTATACAATGAGTGGCACCAATTTAATGAATATTACAGCTACATGAGAACAATTCTCAATAATTCTCAAAAGAAAAGTAACCTTAATTTACAATAATTAATTAATGTAAGCATCCTTTCAAAAACTTTCAGCCTGATCTTATTTCGTCAGAAAATGCTACCAAAAAGAAATACAGTTTGTAAAATAATCACTTCAGCAAGTTCTTCATTATTTATATACAAAGAAAAACGTTATTTCAAACATACCTTGCAAGCGAATTTATGTATGAATTTCTTTATTTTTACTGCAGTTCCGTTGATCAACTTCCTATAAACAAACTCACTTGAGGAGTCTATGTTTTTCTGCCCGTAGTAGAAAAGTATTTCATCCTTTCTGTATTCCTTTTCCGCTAATTTTGCCGATAAATTTATTTTTAGTGAAACATAACAATAATATTACTTTTTAAAGTTAAAGTATTCTAACTAGTTTTCTAAATGTAGAGAATACCACTACTCCACATTTGAAAAACGTATTAACTGATAAGAAATATCACATCTATATCTGATATTTGTTTGGCAAATATAATTTTTTAACCAAATGAATCGAATCATTCTGTGTTAGAATTCAAATGAATTGTAATAAAAAACATTTTATAATTTTTAATATACTTTCAGTGTAAGAATTCGCATAACAGTTTGACTCATCATTTATGCGTCGGTCCCTAGCACTGAAGAAATTATTAACTTCACCTATACAGAGGAAGGAAGAAGCCCATCTTCCTCCAGAGGAAACCAGAACTTTCTGCTCAGGAAAGTGACGCAACCTTGTAATATGTTTGATTTGTTGAAGACGAGAAACCGCGCGTTTAACTTCGGTGTGAGTGTATTGTCTGTTATACAGGTATCATTAGTGCTACCTAAAGAAAGTAATACAGTGAGAATACACCGACGACAAAGTTACCAGTAAAAAGTTATATTTGTTTTGAGTAAGTACTAGTTATGTATATATTCTTAAAAGTACGTAGAACAAAATGCCATTAGTAATAAGAGGTATTTGTGGCATATATTAAGGCAAATAATGATTAAACCACATAAATCCAGCCACATTGTCCAGCCTATTGTGTAATATAAGTTGCTGCGTAATTTATTTTACGTTTTTCTGCTTTGAGTTGATTTGTGTGATGATATCATAATTACAGTAAAAAGAAAAGATACTTTTCCTTTTTTTTTCTTTTAATCTCCAATTAATGTAAACTTTATATATTTGCATATTTACAAAATTTGTGTCCTATATTAATTGTGCTGATCAATTGCTACTACGCAGTTTACATTATTCAGTGTTACCTGAAATTGGATATGTGTGTAAACAGTGTTTGTAATGTATAATGCTATTTATTTTAACGGAGTATATTGCAGAGTTTTGTGGAAACTAATGCTGTCGCAAAAATTTATCATAAAAGTGTAAACAGCGTTTTTTATTCTGTTGAACTGTTTTAAATTATAACTATTCAATTTGGTTTTGTTAAATTGCAGTTTAAATCTTTTTATGTGACTGTAGTAAGCTGTATTGCACGCTTGTACAAAAGTTTGAAATTTTCATGCTTGTTAACTTTTTAACTCTAATAAAGTAATTTTTATCATTTGTTGAGTTGTTTTCAAAATGGATGTCTATGATTTTTAGGTAGCTAAAGAAGTATGTCATATTACGGGTCTGATGCAAACCTGGGTGCATTCCAGGATTCATTCTCAGAGAAAAGCATACGCCATGGTGAGTTTTATAATTACCATGGATGCAGTTCATTATATTTTATTGTGAATATTTGTTTATAGACAATTTTCTGATACGATACTTTTTCAGTGTTTGATTAATTTGTGGGAAAATGTTTTAAATGGCAAAAGTGACACGAAATATGCATCATACAATATATGATGTTTATTAACTTATTATCAGAAACATAGATCTTTTGAAAGAAACTGATTTAGATAATCCAAATGGGCTGACGGCAAGATGAAATACACTTGCCTGGGGTGATGAAAGGCAAGATGAAATACACTTGCCTGGGGTGCCTGGGGAAGGGCATTGTAATTTGTATAGAAAACTGAAAGATTAAAAAATTGACATATAAACGAAATTATTTAAATATAAAATTTATTTTACTGCCTGTGTAAATGTTACAAAATTGGTTATCAGGTGTTTTATTGTATATCTTGCTATATATTTTCCTTTTCATTTCAAGAAAGGAATTAGGACAAATACTTTTACAAATAATAATCATAGCTGACTTAATGTGTTAATTCATTTGGAAATATTACAATTCATAAACAAATTTTGAACAAAAGAAAATTGTGCTTCATATGCTATTTTGTTAGGATAAATAATTTTTTTGCAAGTTTTGTTTTAAATTGAGGCAAAAAAGAAAGCAAGAGAATGTGTGAATATCGTAAAGATATTCACGCATTCTATTATTGCCTGATTGTGAATATCGTAATGATATTCATAAACAAATTTTAGTAGATGAATACAGTTTAAGTAGTGAATGAAGTACGTATGGGACATAAATAATATTTCTGATGTGTCTAACTGTTTCTTATAATTCATCATAACAAAGTACACAAACATATCTTTAATTTGTTTGCCTTAAATAAGAATTTGGTGGAGAATGTTCTAATAGAAAATGATTCATGTTCATATTGCACACTTGGAAAACTTTATAAATACCATGCAGCTTATTAAAAACCGAATCCAAAATTTTGACGAAGAGGCCTTAGATATTGGGAGAGATAAAAATAGATAACAACTTTCGGTACAACTCTGATATACGCCCTAATTTCACCAAATGTGGCGATATATGTTCTGCACTGGTTTTTGGCACGATTGCGTGTTCTATGGCAACCCTGTTGACGTTGAACAATCTTTCGCTGAAGGTTGTTGATTCGCGTCTGTGTCTGAGAAGATGGGAGGGAAGTTGTTGAATTGAAGTTCGGCAAAAGGAAATATCATTGTGGCCATCCTGTTGAGGGTAGTGGGTATTTGGAGGTGTGGAAAGAGGGTCTGGGAGATTATTTTTAATGGCTGTGCATGATAGAAGTAGGGATTTGTGATTTTATTTATTTGTGAACCATAGTATGAATTTTCTGGAGTGTGTCTGGCTGTCATGTAAATACGATAGTGATTACGTGGCGGCATGTTAAAGGCGGTATGAAATTGGTATTTCTGCTGCTCGAAAAAGCATTAATTCATGGTAAGTGCATTTTATTTTATTCTTGTTCTTATTTTGTAGAATGTTATGTTCATTGGTTATTTAGTATGAATTTCTGTCGTTATTGTTGTTTTTTAAACAGAACGCTGTGTACATGGTATTATTTGAAATTTATTGTTATTATGTTATTTTATTAAAGCGAGGTGTGCGTAGATCGTAGATTCGTTCCTTGCCTAAATTTTGCAATTCGTAGATGTTAAGTTTAAACAGGATGCTGTGTACATGGTATTCTTTGAAATTTATTATTCTTATGTTCATTTATTAAAACGAGGTGTGCGAGTTCGTAGATTCGTTCCTTGCCTAAATTGTGCAATTCATAGATTTTTTTTAAAGTTTAATAAGGATGCTGTGTACATGGTATTCTTTGAAATTCATTGTTGTTATGTTAATTTATTAAAGCGAGGTGTGTGAGTTCATAGATTCGTTCGTTGCCTACATTGTGCCATTCGTAGATGTTTTTTTAAGTTAAAACATGTCGCTGTGTACATGGATTCTTGTCAAATATTTTTGGTTAGAAACTTTACGTTTTTGCTATCTAAATTTTTTGTTTTTGTTTCGGATTTTTAGCTTAAATCGTGTGTTCAAAACGTAGTTTTTGCATGTGCGAAAACAGCGTTTTCGGAGACATTTTAGGCTTAAAGTTCGAAATATAGACAAAAAAATTTAGATAGTAATATGGCAGCGTGAAGTTTCGTTTGGCGAGAAATTTGGAGACTTGAGGGCACATATCAGAGTAGTTCCCAACTTTCTTGAAAAATAAACTTCCCATTAAAAGGGAATTTCAAAATGGAATGTTCTCTTGATAGAAATATCTCTTTGTTTTTCATCTGTTTTCACTTTCTGAGGATGGGTGTAATGTGTTTGCCAGTACAAAGACTTGTCATGTTTTGATCAAAATGACAGATAATGACAGTCTATAATGGCTTTAGTGAGAGAAAACAGTGTTGGCACAATTTGGGTTTTAGGCTTAAAAAAAGTGCAGTTTGTCTTAAACATCGATGAAAATGAAACTCCCTATGATAAATCAACAATTCATTCAATATCCCTGAAAGTGTTTTAATGTATACATATGAAAGGAATTTAATATAAATTTGTACTCATTATAGTATTGAATACAGTTTTGTCAGCAATTTATTTAAAATAAGAACTTAATGTATACTGTAGTTATATTTAATACAGTTATGTAAGCAACTTTTTTTAAATAACAGGTCTGAATATGCTGGAAAATAATGTTTATTATTGAACATACTAGAAAATTATATTTATTATCTTATTTAATACACTTTTGTTCGCAATTATATATATATGTGGTGTTTCGACAGATACTTCAACTTCTATTCATGAGATGGCGCCACGTGTAAAATCCAGTTCTTAATCGGAGCAGCAAAGCGACATCTTTACTCACTCAGACTTCTCGTCACACAACGGTACGCGAAGGTAGCATGAACTGTGTTCCGAGCACTGTGTTGATCTCTTCAATGTAATTTAAATTGTAATTTAGTACTTAATATATTCTTTTGTTATAGGAGATTGTCTATTCTTTTTTTCTTTAATTATATCATGCATTAAGCACACACGACCACCAAAAGTGGTGACCTTTTGACTGAGCACGCTACCGAGAATGGATTTTCAACGACCCTAAGCCACGTGCATCCAAGGCATTCTGAAGAACTGACTAAAAATAACAATGAATATGGACATTAAACGTATGCTACAACGTACTCCTTCAATTATTTCTAGAAGTATTGATATATATTGCTTGTGTTTTTTCAAAGTCGTGCATATCATCGCAAGGAGCTTCAGCAAATCATCAATGTGATCTGTTCCGTTCCGCTGACTTCGCCAGTCGTGCAATAATTCTTCGATCATTCAACAACAAATGTGCTACAACAGTGATTTTCGCTGAATGTGCTACATCAGTAACTTTTGTGCAACGTGCTACGGCAAAATTCTTCCCTCAGTGTTCGAAAGTAGTGAATTTTTTTCCCATGTGCTACAGGAGTGATTTCATTTTTCCTTCGAAAGTGCCTTTCATTGTGAAGTGGTGATATTGTGCGTGCGCAATACAAAATGAACGCATCATTTTTTTTTTCTCAAATAAGGGTTTCTTTTCAAATGCATTTCGGTAAAATATTATTTGTGTGTGTAATTGCTGACCCTGTATTATTTGTGTGTGTATCGTTACGTATATTTTTTCTGCATGGTTAAAATATTTATTGTTATCATGGTAAAATATCAATAGTGTATCTTCATGCTACAATATTGTGCTGTTAAGTGTTTATTATTTAAAGTGAAAATTATCTATCAGTATGCCCGACGATATTCCACCAGAGCCACAAATCACACGCGTTGCGGTGAAGCCACCGCCTTTCTGGAAAAATAATCCTTCATTGTGGTTCGCTCAGATCGAAGCACAATTTTCTATCGCTCGCATTAGTGAGGATTCTACAAAATTCAACCACGTAGTTGCAGCAATTGAGTCTGATATTCTGAATTCAGTGCATGACTTAATTCTCAAACCACCTGATTGTGATAAATACTCCAAACTGAAACAGCGGCTCATTGAAATCTATTCAGAAAGTGAATCTTCAAAAATACGTACTTTACTACAAGGACTTGAACTTGGAGATCAGCGACCTTCATACTTGCTGTCACGAATGCGTGATCTGGCAGGAAGCCATTTTAGTGACGACTTGTTGAAGTCACTATGGCTTTCGCGTCTCCCTAATAACATACAAATAATTCTTGCTGCTTCCAATGAAGATCTAACCCGTTTAGCAGCAATGGCTGACAAAATTAATGAACTTGTTACTCCAGCTTATGTCAGTGCTGCTAATGCTGCACCTTCCAGTTCATCCCTCGAACAACAAGTGGCTGAATTGACCAAAAAAGTATCTGAACTCTCTACAAGTCTTCATGCTTCACGGAGATACAATCGATCAAATCAGGGCCCACGTAATAAATTTCGTGCCCGAAGCAGGAGTCAATCTCGTCACAATACTCGAACGCAGTACAAAGAACCCACAAGTGGCATATGTTTTTATCATATGAATTTTGGCTCGCCCATGCACTTTTGTATCCCTCCATGTGTGCCCCTCCATGCACTTTTGTACAAGCGGGAAACTAAATGGGCGGTCTTCTGCTGGCCAACAGAATGTCCGCCACATCGACAGAATAGTACTGGCTGATCGTTCAACTCAGTTATGTTTTCTAGTAGATACTGGAGCTGACATATCAGTGCTCCCGAGAACTAAAACAAATGCTCACCAACTTAATAAACTTGTACTGTATGCAGCCAATGGTACCCAAATTGCAACCTACAGCACCAAACTATTGACACTTGATTTAAACTTGCGCCGGACTTTCAACTGGCCTTTTATTATTGCGGATGTAACTCAAGCAATTATTGGTGTCGACTTCTTGACACATTTCCACCTTCTAGTGGATGTCAAGAATAATTGCTTAATTGATGCTAACTACTACAACTCAGCTGACATCACAGGGCCAA